TCCACACATACATGGCTGAGTTAGTCACTAAATAATTTGCAATAATAAAAAAAAAGATTTTTTTGTTGGTTAAAGCAGGAAGTAGTTAAATTTTAAAATGAATCTGGTGTTATGGTGAGTAAATACTTTAAGAACTCTCATTACCATATTAACTTAGGCTAATACCTAATAGTATAATTTGTCTAAATTGAGATTGGGATACAAATTACTTAAAATTATGAGGAGTTGCTTTTTCACAGTGCAATAGGAAACATTTTTATTCAACTATATAAGATAAAATTAATAGTTTTCTACATTTTTGGTTTTTTCTGTCATTGATGTTAGTGGTCTCAAAATTCTCATCAGTAACTTTGTATGATGCTGAATTACAAACTCTGAATGATCCAGTTGGAAACCTGTCCCTTGACTTTCTTCAGCCAGTTTTCGAGAGGGTTGATTTCCCCTCCGTGTCCTGCATTTAGCCACCCTACGGGAAGAATGGGTGATAGAAGTAAATGTCTGTTTAGTTAGTGGCTTTGGTCATGTCTCCACAGGAGAAACCATTCATTGTCTCTTTATTTTAGTTCAGTCTACTAGAAGGAGTCTGTTCCCTTCAGTTGCTGACTTTTCAAAATGTTGGTATTAGTAGTAGCTATTACTTTGTTGGTCTCATGGCCAATATTATTAGAATTTCATGATCTGTAGTAATTATTAGTAGAGCCAGGCACTGTATCTTTTAAGTTTTTTTTTTTAAGTATATAGTCATTTCATCTCTTTATTCCTTAGCCCGCCCACTCCACGCATGGAGAATTAGTGATTCTCAGAATCTTTAGGCAAGTTGTCACCATCTCCCTTGCCTTGGTCTTTCATAATAGGTGTGCATATGTTTGTGTTTCTGTATAGTATTATATGTGTGTGTATCACACATATTTGGTAAAATAGCTGTTTGACTAACAGGATTGAAGTGGCTTTTTAGTTATTTTGTGGGCATTATTGGACACCTTTTTAAAGCAATCTGAAGTTTAACCATGCCACACTTGGTTGACTAATTTATTTTGAACATTGTTTTTTTCTATATTAATTTAGACATTATCACAATTCTGTATCATTAGCAACTTAGAAAAGATTCACTCAAGCTTCTGAAAAATGGGATACCTTGGCAAATTCTACTTTAAGTCAAATGTTTGAAGCTGAATGAAAATATATCCCAATTTTAATTTCTAATATTGAACATTTTTAAATCCAGTTTTTAGTACATAAAACACTTAAGGATCTTCAGGACTTTTAGAGCACATTTGAAATTATTTTAGTAAGAGTTTTGTTTTATCAATATATGTTGAATTTTGTTTTATAATTAAAAATAAACCAACACAAAACCACAAAGCTTAGATTTCAGCAAGAGGGAGGGAGATTAGCTGGTGGTCCCAGAGTGTGCTGCTGTTAATTGTTTAATTAACAAAGGGGAAATGTATATAAACATTTATATAAAAGTTATCATAAATTCCATAAACTTAAATCTGTGATTCATTGCCTTAAGACTTTCTCTCTTAGAATTTCCATACCGCATGCCAAACCAGTAAAATGGCTTTTAAAAATGTATAGTAAACCAATGTCAGTTTGTATAAAAGTACCAAGTGAAGATATTTATTACATGCATTGGAAAAAAATTGTTTACCTATTGAATGTTACCTGTTTATGTAGAGCTCTTTAGATGTAATAAAAGAAAAGCCTTCAGTAATTTGTGTTCTGTAAAATACACTGCTGGGTGTGCAAAGGGACAGTCGTAAGAGAAAGGCCATATGCTTTGTGCTTCCAAAGCACCTTTCATCCAGAGATTTCAAAGCATGACGAGTAATTCTTTTGCAACATGCTTTGAGGTAAGTAATGAATGTACAGTCATCATTCCCCTTATTGAAATATGGTTGGCTTTGTAATGAACCGCAGCATGTTTTGTTTTAAACCTGTTTAATAATCTGCAATTTGAGAGCTAAAAGCTACAGTTTTGTTTTGTTTGTAGACAATACTAAGTGCTAGATAAACCAACTGAAATTCCAGGAATGAGCAAAAAGCCTGGACATGGGGTGGTGTAAAATCCGTTTCTGGGATAGAGGTTCAGATCAGAGAGGCCTCACAGGACGTCAGGACCCCAGCCACTGAAGACCTTAATTAGGGCCACGGGTCAGTGGCGATGAACCCAGGTTCTGATGAGCATTTCACAGCACTGAGTGTGTTTGGGGGAGCTACACTTCAGAGATTCCTGTTAGGCAAATCAGATGAAAAGTTACTCTAAGCCATACTTGGGCCCTGGCTGGGTTGCTGAGTTGATGCAAGTGTCATCCCGTACATTAAAAGGTGGTGGGTTCGAATTCCTGTCGGGCACATACCTATGTTGAGGGTTGGATCCCTGGTCAAGAACGTGTAGGGGAGGCAACTGATCGATGTTTGTCTTTAAAAAAAACATACTGAGGCCATTTCATTTATCAGACAAAAAGGCTTTAAGGTAAAGTACCCTCACTTATAGCTCTACTTTCTTGCCCGGTTTCATCTAAATCTCAGGTGTCTGTCTAATCCTTGGTATCCCAGGTTGGCTGTGCAGGATTTGCTTCCTAACGTCCAAGATGAGTTCAAAGGAGATGTGGGCTAAGGCCCTTGATCCGTGGCTGAAAGTGAAATAAAGCAGTTCTCCACGTTGCTGGTTAGAAACTCCTAGCCAGCCCTCGGGGATTTACCACGATGGTAATGAGGTTTCTGCACCTGGCCCTCGCTGGGCCCTGGGAGCAATGCTACCACGCCTCTATTTCTATTTTTATGTTCTTAAAGAAGGCTGCCAAATGGTACACCCTGAGACCCCACTCCTGCAGAGTGAGCCTGCGCTCCCCAGCTAGACAATCAGCTTCACCTACTTGGTTGTCTGGGCCACTTATGCCGCCCTCCTCAGAACCCTTCTCTTCAGCTAGGAATTCCTACTCTCATTGGCAGTCACTCTGGTGAGATCATCGCACTAAAATGGACGGGTCCCCTGCCGTTTCCCTGGTGGCTGGCCCTTGTGTTTGTGCCTTGAATAGCCTCCCAGAAGACATCTCCCTCGGTTTGGTTTTCTTTTGCTTTCGCCACTGAGCACCCTTAGAGCCACAGCCCAGAGCCCAGTTTTGATACATATAAGGACGAAAGTCTCTGTACTTAGAACGCTACCCCCAATGTGCCAGTGTGGGACTCCAACCCTTTTTAGGGCAGGGCTGACACCACTGGATCCACAAATTGGATGAGCGCACACACGGCACCAGCCGGCACCTCCTGGCTGCAAAACTCAGCTAATTGACCTGGCAGGACCAGTACCCCTATTGCTGGGGCTCCTGCTGTATCATGGCAATGGCCCGTTACATCCCCTTATTACTTCCCATTAGTCATGGGAAATGGCTTGGAGCCATGATCAATTTGACCCACGTGAGCAGACCCATCCCATTCTTGTGAATCTCTCTGATCACAGGCTGGGGGAGCTGGACATTCTGACAGGAGCATCAGAAAGGGCTTTCCATCATAGTGTTTTGGCTCAGTGGATAGAGCCTCAGCCCGTGGACTGAAGGATCCCGAGTTCGATTCTGGTCAAGGGCACATACCCAGGATGTTGGTTCTATCCCCAGTAGGGAGCATGCAGGAGGCAGCGGATAAGTGATTCTCATCATTGATGTTTCTAACCCTCTCCCTTCCTCTCTGAAATAATACATTTTTATAAAAAGAAACAACCTCTTTAGCACATATATTTAAGAGAAGAAAAAAAGGCTTTCCCAGTTCTGTGAGGCCTGGGTCACATTGGTTTCCTCTGGTGCGGAAAGTCAGATCCTTCTGCCTACTGTTGAGCTGAGGCTGCCTTGTTTTACCTTGTCCCCACCCTGGATTCTGTGTCTGTGAATGAATCTGAATGGTGTCACTGTGTGTTGAGATGGGAATGAGAATCTGTAAGTGGCCCTGTGCTACTGCAAGAAATATTGCCATCGTTTTTTTGTTTGTTTGTTTTAGCTCTGCTTGTTGCTATTTCTCAGCCGGCACTGGCTTTGTCTTAGAAATGTGGAAGATGGTTCCAGCACCCAAATATAGAATGCAGCCTTTTGGTTGATTGCCCTTCTTCGCAGAAACACTACCATGGAAACTCAGAATGGCACAGAGCTCTCCAGTTTGCAAAGACATTTTCAAGTCATTAACTCAGACCATCCTTAGCAGGCTCCATGAGGTAAGAATGAGGAATCTGCTTGGCTGGCGTGACTCAGTGGTTGAGCATCAACCTATGAGTTAGGAGGTCATGGTTCAATTCCTGGTCAGGGCACATGCCCAGGGTTGTGGGCTTGATCCCGAGTAAGGATGTGCAGGAGCAGCCGATCAGTGATTCTCTCTCATCATTGATGTTTCTATCTCTCTACCTCTCCCTTCCTCTCTGAAATCAATAAAAATATATTTAAAAGAAAAAAAAAAAAAGGAATCTAACGTTAGTGAAGATTCTAAGGCTCTGAGCTGTGAAATGCTTGGCCCAAAGTCAGACAGCTGGGGAATGGCAGAGTCAGGACTGGAACCCAGGCCCATCTCCAAACCAGAGGCTCTTTCCAAGCTGTAAAGGGCTAAACGAATGGCAATTATTAAAATTATTAGGGGTGGGTGGGGGTAAGGGGAAGAGATCAACCAAAGGACTTGTGTGCATGCATATGGGCCTAGCCAGTGGCCATGGACAATAGGGGGGTGGAGGCATATGTAGGGAGGGGGTTGGAATGGGAATGAGGGGGATAAGGACAATTATGTGAGACCATAATCAATAAAATAAATTAATTTTTTAAAATTAATTATCTTTTATTAAGGACATGCTGATACCATGGCTGAAATCATTTATTTTCATTGCTACGTTATCCTCTGCTACAGTCAGAGAGCGCCATGCCACTGTGCTGTTTCCGTAGAGTGAAAGGAACACTTTTCTTGTTAAGATTTCATCTGCTGATTTTCAGGCCCAGGGGAGGCTCTTCTTGCATCCTCTCCATTCAGTAGTTGGGCACAGGAATGGCGATCTTCTGGATAAATTCATCATACTTCACTTTGCCGTTTGTGTCTATATTTGCTTCTCTGAAAAGATCATCCACTGCAATAAATCACATTAATTTTTCAGTTCAGCTTTGCTGCTATGGTGCAGGACATCAAGTTCATGGGTGTTGGGGCTCCCCAGAGGTGTTCCCTGAGTGTCCAGTTGACTGTTCACATAGACCAGGAATCAGACAGCCAACAGACCAGGACAAGCCACCCCCAACCTGAGACCACGGATACCACTCTGAGTTCATCGGATTTCACTGAAGCCAAGCCACCTTGTGTTTTTGTCAGTTTTGAAAGAAAACGCCCTATATTTCTGGTACCTGTAGTTCCAGAAATCTTTGGCATGGGTTTGGCCTCCCACAGCTCACCCTCCAGCTTTCCAGCTGATCGGGCCCCCTCGGCAGCTCCATCCTGGGCCACCATGGCTGGGCTTTGGCCTGCCTGGCCTGCCTGCCTTCCCTTCCAAATGGGCACTCCCCACCCCAAGAGAGGACTTGGTGACAAGTGGTGTCGCCACCATCACCTCTTTTTAAAAGTCTGTGCTTGGGGGATAGGGATACTTGGAGAGAAAATAAACTCAACTGTGTCTAAAGCTGAAAGGGTACACAACTGCCATTGCTGCCAAAACCGGTTTGGCTCGGTGGATAGAGTGTCGGTCTGTGGACTGAAAGGTCCCAGGTTCGATTCTGGTCAAGGGCATATACATTGGTTGCAGGCACATCCCCAATAGGGGGTGTGCAGGGGGCAGCTGGTCGATATTTCTCTCTCTCTGATGTTTCTAGCTCTCTATCCCTCTCCTTTCCTCTCTATAAAAAAATCAATAAAATATATATATTTTTAAAAACAACCTGCCATTGCCCTCTATGACGCTGCTCCAAAAATATCGCTTTGTTTACTTGTTTCTTCTGGTTCTGGATTCCTTGCACAAAATACTAGTTTGTCCAGATCTCGGCAAGAAGGACCATTTTGGTGCTCGCTTTGGCAGCATGTATACTAAAACTGGAGCGACGCAGAGAAGATTGGCATGGCCCCTGCACAAGGATGACACACAAATTGGTGAAGCATTCCTATTTTTTTAGAAAAAGAAGGGCCATTTCAGTTTATATGAAGAGGGCCGCCTGAGAAGGCACATGGGCATTCTTTAAATTGTCTCCACAGAGCCTCTCAGAGCCAATCTACCGTTGGCGCTTTGAAAAATCCTGACCCTCTTGCAAAAACTGTCTCCCTGCCCTGTGTCAGCTTCCTCAGCTCTAGACCTCCCGACAGTAACGCCCGGCAGTTAGAAAACATCCTGATTCTCTGCTTGGCAGCCCCCTCCAGAATGTAATTACTGAGCTCCACGCCCGAGCCGCCTGTGGTGCCGGGTATTTTTAGAATGTGGAGAATGCTAAGTTATCTTCATGGTTCCAACCATCCCAGCGGGCAGGTCCGACGCCAGCTCAGAGCCACCACTGAGCAGCTTCCAGTCCAAAGCCAACCACTGAGCAGCCTCCGGTCCAGAGAAGGGGCCTCAGCGGATAGCCAGGTGCTGGCTCTGCCTGCCGGGTGGTTTGCCATTCACGGTGAACCCAGAAAGAACCAGGATGCCGGCACCAGCCTATTCCAGCCTTAAAAAGGAGCCCTCCCTGACAGCCTTCCGCTGCTCCAAGGATGCTCCTTGGTAAGATGGATTTCCTTTCAATCACCTAGAGGTAAAGGTTCCTACTTCTAGGATCATTTTCCCCGTCTCCCTCAGCCAAACGAAGGGGAATCGGTCTCGCAGCTTGTCGGGAACACGCTGCCATTTTCCTTGAAAGGTTTCTTGACTGGTTGAACGAATGAGGAACGTGGATGAGTTTGGGGCCCGGGGTCTGACTTGCGACAGGGATTGTGAACCATAAGAAGGAAGCCCCGCTGGCCCTCTCTGCTAGCCCTCCTCCTGGCACCTCACAGGCCAGGAGGAGTCCTGCGAGCCTGGGAGGGAGGGTGGCCCCTGGTCCCCCTGCTCAGTTCGAACAGCGACAGTGATAGTGAAAGACGGGACAGCGCCAGCCTGGAGTCTGCTCCCGTCACTGTGTGTCAATGCTGTGTGCTGAGCCTTGGTCCACTTTATAGAAGGTTAGCTCTTGGGGGACCTGAGGGATTGTCTATGGGAACCTCATTTCCCAACAAGGAAACTGAGGAGGGGGAGTGAGGTTAAGAAACCTGGCACAGAAGTTGATGATTGATCTATGAACCAGGAGGTTCATGGATTGAGTCCTGGTCAGGGCACATGCCTGGATTGCAGGCTCAATCCCCAGTCGGGGGGAAGGGGGAATGCCAGAGGCAACAATCAATTATTCTCTTTCATCATTGATTTTTTATTTTTAAAATATATTTTATTTATTTTTTTACAGAGAGGAAGAGAGAAAGATAGAGAGTTAGGAACATCGGTGAGAGACATCAATCAGCTGCCTCTTGCACACCCCCTACTGGGGATGTGACTGCAACCAAGGTACATGCCCTTGACCGGAATCGAACCCTGGACCTTTCAGTCTGGAAGGCTGATGCTCTATCCACTGAGCCAAGCCAGTTCCGGCTCATCATTGATATTTATATCTCTCCCTCTCCCTTCCTCTCTGAAATCAATAAAACGTATTTAAAAAAAAAAAAAAAAAAAAAAAAGGAAAGAAGTGCGTCTGGGGTCCTCCAGGATGAGCAGGAGCCAGGATTCAGATCTGATTCCAGCCACAACCTGCAACCCCTCCTGGTTTGCTGTGATTTAACCAAAGGCCCCACATTATGAGGCCTGTTTCCTCCACCCACTGTCCCAGCAGCATGAGGAGAAATCCCAGCCTCCGGGGCTGGTGGTGTGGACTCTGGGTGGTGACTAAATGGCAGCTGTGGTCGGACCCAGGGGCCAGCGGGCAGGCAAATGGCCCAGCATTGGGGTCGCCCTTAACCACATGTGAAGGGATTTCCCAGAAGACCCGGGCCCCTTGCCCTGCTTGAGGCAGGAAGGCACACTGGGCTGCCGGGGGTCCGAGGCAAAGGCCTCTCCTGGGTCCTGTGGCCAGCAGTCCCAGCAAAGGCCGCCGTGGACACCTCTTGGGAAAAGCTGTTAGAGCTGGTGGCGTCATGAGGAGAGGGAACAAAGCAGCATCTCAGGCCCAGCCAGCGTGGCTCAGTGGTTAGCATCAACCTATGAACCAAGAGGTCATAGTTCGATTCCTGGTCAGGGCACATGCCTAGGTTGCTGGCTTGATCCCCTGTGTGGGGCATGCAGGAGGCAGCCAATCAATGATTTGCTCTCACAGTTGATCTCTTTTTTTCTTTCTTTCTTTCTTCCTTCCTTCCATTCTTTTTTAAAATATATTTTTATTGGTTTCAGAGTGGAAGGGAGAGGGAAAGAGAGAGAGAGGAATCGAACCTAGGACTTTTCAGTCCGCAGACACCCTAATCCACTGAGCCAACCATCTAGGGCCATCATTGATGTTTCTGTCTTTCTCTTCCTTCCTTTCTCTGAAATTTAAAAAATAAATATATATATATATATATATATATATATATATATATATATATATATATATATATATATATATTTTAAAGTAGCATCTCAGTTTGGACACCTGGCAAGAACAGCTGTGCGAAAGAAGCGCCTGAGATGGGCAGAGGGTGGGGAGATAAGGGAGGGTGGGGAAGGGGGAGGGAGGGAAGGGGGCAGTAGAAGAGGGAGGAGGAGTGTCTGTGACCTACCTGCAACTCCCAGCTCTGCTACCGCAAGCCACTCAGTTCGCCTGTGTCTGTGTCAGTGTGTGTGTGTGTGTGGGGGGGGGTCACTAGTGTTCCCAGGGGTGTCGTAGCTCTAAATAAAGGCCCACGGTGAAAGCTTACACTCAGGGCGAGTCCCAAGGAGCTCCCACTGGGTTTCCCAGGCCACCTCTTCGCCCTGTAAGATTGCTCCCGCTCCCCCGGTCCTGGCTCTTCCTCGGACTCCAGCCCAGAGCTCACCCTTCTTGCCACCAGTCGCAGCCTCCAGGGGCGGCATGAAGCGCAGTGTCCGCACGGTCCCGGGGCCGTGGATTGGGCTTTGGTGTCCTCCCCCCCAACCCCCCAGCCCCCTCCTGCTGCAGGAGAGAGGGACAGGCCGTTACCTTCCTTGTGGGTGAGCTTCTCCCCCAGCTTCGTGAGTTTGGAGCGCAGCTCCGACGCCATGATGTAGCCCTTCTTCTCCTTGTCCGCCATCAGCATGGCCAGGAGAATCTCTTTCTTTGGGTCCTCTTGTTTTATTTGCATGTGCATCATGGTCAGGAAAGTGGAGAAATCCAGCTCCCCGTTTTTGTCTAGGAAACCCCAAACACGGCAGAGTGAGCCGGGAGGGAAAGGCTCCCCACCCGCCTCCTGCCCAGCGCTCACGGCCGGCTCGGGGGCGCCGGGCTCAGGAAGGCCCTGCAGGTGGCGGTGAGGAAGATCAGCCCTCTCCCGAGGTCCCCCCTCGGATCTGCCTCCGGGACCCCTCCCAGCATCGCTCAGGGCCGGTGGGTGTCATCTCCCCACGCTGCCCACCGAGGAGGCAGGAGCCCTGAGGGGCAGTGCCTCCCAGAGCAGTGGCAGGCCGGGGTGGAGCGCCCCCTCTGCCGCTCCCTTCCGGAGCTCTCTGGCGCCCTGAACCGGAGGCCACACATCTCCGTCCACCCGTCAGCAGCCACCCCTGACCCCACAGGGCGGGAGGGGACCCCACCGGGCCTCAGGCCCAGTCCCACCTGGGCTGGTTGCTTGCTTTTCCCCTCACTGCAACCACCCAGCTCCCCAGCCCAGGCCCCTCCTCTGGGCATGTGTGGGGGCCTCGGCCCTGGCCTGGCCCGGGTAGACGGCAGGAAACTGGAACTTCCCCTGACCACAGCTTCCTGTTTGGAGACGGTAACCAAAGGAAACCGCCACCCCTTGGCGGTCACTGAGCGCCTGTCCCTGGGCTCTCGGCCTGCAGAGGCCGCCCAGCCTGGCCGCCCAGCGCCGCTGCACCCCCGCTCTGAGGGGACCGTGGGGTAACCCCAGAAGATGGTGGGGAAACTGAGGGTCAGGTGGCTCCGGATGGAGTGGTCTTTCCAGGCCACGCCCCTTCTCTGGGCCAGTCTTTCCTTCCTGAGTGTCCAGCTGCCGAGGCAAGCAGCCACCCCAGCCTCTGACACCCTCTTGTTTCTTTAAAAAACCGAACACCCAACTTGTTTGTTTCTGGTTATAAAAGTCCTATATGCTCCCTTTGTCAAAAATATAGGAAACAGCCGAAACTGGTTTGGCTCAGTGGATAGAGCGTCGGTCTGCGGACTGAAAGGTTCCAGGTTCGATTCTGGTCAGGGGCATGTACATTGGTTGCGGGCTCATCCCCGGTAGGGGATGTGCAGGAGGCAGCTGATCGATGTCTCTCTCTCATCGATGTTTCTAGCTCTCTATCCCTCTTCCTTTCTCTCTGTAAAAAATCAATAAAATATATATTTTTAAAAATACAGGAAACAACAATAAAGGGGATGAAAATCATCCATGATCCCAGCGCCTAGAGAACTACTTGGCTGGGTTTTCTTCCACTTTTTTTCCTCCCATAATTTTAGAAGGTCAGTCAGGTCCTAACTGATGTAGCTCAGTTGATAGAGCATCGGCCTTTGGATTGAATGATCCCGGGTTCGATTCCTGTCAAGGGCATGTATCTTGGTTGCAGCACATCCCCAGTAGGAGGAGTGCAGGAGGCAGCTCATCAATGTTTCTAACTCTCTATCCATCTCCCTTCCTCTCTGTAAGAAATCAATAAAATAAAAAAATTATATATATATACACACACACACACACACACACACACACATATACACACACACACACACACACATACACACACACATACACACACACACACACACACGTTGGAAATCAAAAGAATTGGGCTCCAACTCTGATTCTGAACCCTAGTCTTTACCTGTAAAACAGCGCCTTCTCCACCAGGTGGTTTGCGCTAAGCACATGACACGTACTCAGAAAGGGAAACTGTCCTGGCGAAGCCATTTGGGGGTCACTGTTACACTTTCTTGACTGCAGAGTTCGGAACCTTGGTCCCAGGGCGCTCTGTGAGTGAGGTGTCACCACTGCTGTGAGGACTCAGGGGCCTGAGTGATGCACAGCACACCTGGCCAAATGCCTCCACGGCTCCAGGCTGGAGACCTCTGACTGCCACCAGCATGCCTAACCTCTGGCCTGTCCTCACATCCACCACCTGTACCCACTGCGGGCTCTTCCCAAGGACCACAGCTGCCGGGCTCAAGGCCCACCCCCCAGGCCAGCCCACTTCTTCCCCAGCCCAGCCCAGCCCACTCACCGATCTTGTGAGTCTGCAGGTGCCGCTGCACCTCCCCTGGTGTCGGGCTGGCCCCCAGGCACCTCATCGCCACTATGAGGTCCGTGGCTTTTATCTTCCCCCGCTGCTGCTTGTCATACAGGGAGAAGCATTCCTTGTACTCTGTGCACAGCCAGGATGGAGAATCAGGAGCCCTCCTTCAATCACCGTCCCCCCCCACACACACACCCTCTTTTCCCATCACAAATAAAAATACAGGACTGCCATGTTCAATTGAACTTCCAATAAATAATGAACACATCTACTGTCTACAGAGGCCTGATGCACGAAATTCATTCAAGGAACTCAGCCCTTGCAGTCCCACCTGCCTCAGCCCTCGCACCCTGGCTTCATTTGGAAGGTCGTCCCAAAAGTTGTCCAGAAGATCATCTGATGGTCATTCTGCTATTCAGCCTAATTAGCATATTAGCTCTTTTGTAGGATAAAAGCCCAATATGCAAATTGACCTTTTGAGAGTTCAACCAGGAGACCAGGAGTTCGATTACTTGCTATGATATGCACTGACCACCAGGGGGGTGGAGCAGAACAAAGGAAGGCCCCGGCTGGCAGCTGGAAGGTCCCAATCATCCCTGATCACCAGCCACACCTAGGGACCCTATCCATGCATGGATTTCGTGCATTGGGCCTCTAGTATATATATAAAAGGCTAACATGCTAAGTATCCAACCGTCCAAATGATTGCTATGATACACCTGACCACCAAAGGCCAGATGTTCAATGCAGGAGCTTCCATGAGACGCACTGGCCATTTACAGGGAAATGGCACTGTGGACCTGGCACCCACAAACAATACTTGACTTCCCCCAAGTGCAACACAGGCCCCGCCACCACCCTGGAGCAATAGCCCACCAAATCACAGCCAACTCTGCCAAGATCCATGGTGCAAAATGGGGCCCATAGCCCAGCCCAGCCCAGAAACAGTGTCTATGGATGCCAGGTAATGACGTCACGTAGCAACTCCAGCTTCCTCTCCCTAGCGACTAGCCTCCTTATAGTTTCTTCAGCCCAGGAACACGACTTGCTTTATAGCCAGGTGGAAACATTTTACATTTTAACCAAATGCCTGTGAAGTGTTTTCCCATGCCTCATCTCATTTGATCCTCGCAGAAGTCCTGGAGTAGATAGATGGGGGACTCGGTGGAATCCTGTTTTCTTTTCATTAGCCAGAAAATAGAGATTTAGAAACGTGACCTGACTGAAAAGAAATGATGGGCCTTGAAAATGACTTCAGGTTTTCTCACTGTGAAGAATATAGGCAAACACTGATGCAGTTAAATATTTTACCCTTGGATCTCCCTGCGTGATCTACAATAATAATCTGCTTTGGGTTGATATTTACTGCTGTGTTGTTGACAATGACCTGAAAGAGAAGTTGGGGTGCTTCACTGGGCTGGAAAAAGTTTAGCTAAGTCAGAAAGCAGGTCTAATTAAGCAAGTTTATGTATATAAAGCTCTTGCTGGCGCCTATCGCACACGTGTGTTTTGATCTGTCATTGTTGATTGTGAATTTGGTTGAGACTTCCATTATAGAGAAAGGGTGAATAGCAATATTAAAATATTTCTTCTAATTAATTTCCTTTCAATGTGCACTGGGTCACTAGCTTTTAGTATAAATATGTCTCAAATTTTTGCACAGGATACACTAAAATCAAAAAAATACTTGTTGCCTGGCTGATGTTGCTCAGTGATTGAGCATCAACCCATAAACCAAGGGGTCACTGGTTCAGGGCACATGCCTGGGTTGTGGGCTTGATCCTCAGTAGGGGGCCTGCAGGAGGCAGCTGATTGATGTTCTTTTTCATCTATATTTCTATCTCTCTATCCTTAAGAATGTCTTAAAAATAAATAAAATAACTAACTAAATAAATATTTGTTTCTCTGACATTTAAATTAAACTGAGTGTTCTGCATTTTATCTGGCAATTCTGTCCCTGCCTTCTCCCATTCCTCCTGCTCCCTTTCTCTCCTTTCCTCCCTGCTTCCTGTCCCTCTTTCCCCTTCCTCTGCTCCCCCTTTTCTCCCTCCCACAACTGACTCAAACCACTGGGAAGCTGTCCCACCCTCTAGGCCAGTCCAGGGAGAGAAGGAGCCCACCGCAGGGCATCCGGACACCCAGGGGACCTTTGCAAAGGCAACTTGTGTGGGAAAGGGAGATAATAATGCCTCTGGGTTACTGAGACGACCAGAAACCCCCCCTGGGAAGTCCTGGCAGACAGTGGCTCTCACGTGGGGTGACAATTATTACAATTATGGGCACTTCTGAGTCCACGGCTCCAGACCCCGCCTCCAGGCTGAACTCTGAAGCTGTCACTGACCAGCAGCCCTGGGTCTGCTCCTAGCAACCTGGGGACAGGGGCCCAGAATGTCTTCTCAGCTCTGATGAGGACCCGCTGGCAGCTCCCTTCCAACCCTTTCTCCCTTAATGGGGACGAAACGGCCTCAGGAGCTGAGGCCTCTGGAGCCCGGTCTCACAGCCTAGCGGAGCAGGACCCGATCTGCCCCTCTGCCCCCAGCTCCCAGCTCCGGAGGAACACCCCTGGGTCCTCCCACAGAGACTGGGACTTCAGAGCCTCTGCCTGGGGGGTGGGGCAGGGGTGGGGGGAGGGAGGGGGTGGGGATGGGACTGTGACTTGAGAAGCGAGAAGCATGCCAGCGATGCACCTCCCAGGGAGTGTGTGATTGCTCCGTCTGATGAGTGACCTGCTATTGCACCAGTGCTTACCCCACACACATGGCACTCATTAAACTCAAACCTCCTTCAGCTCTTCAGCTCTACTGACTGCAAGAGGGCCATCTTTAAGGCTTTTTTGTTTTGTTTTCATAAACGCAGCGGTTGGAACGTTGTTTGATCTTTCATTATTTAATAATGGCCGATTTTAACAACAAGCTCACAACATTTCTAAAGCTCCTGCTGGCTGCAGCAAGCTGGCCCCAGCTGGGGTCTGGGTGCCACCCAGGCTGCACCCGGCCTAGGGGCAGGGGCATGACTGACACTATCCTCTCCCATCGCTCGCTCGCTCGCTCGCAGCAGCCTGGTGTGGTGTCATTATCCCCACTTCGCAGGTGAGAAAACTGAGGCTCAGAGATGGTTCCTGTTCTTCCCACTGCAGCAGGCTGCCTCTGCTCAGCCTGTCACTCGCTCCTTAAACAGCAGTGGCCACTTTCTGGTGTCAGACACTGGGAGACGGAGGGAAGTTTGCCTTTCCTTCCGGAACTTCCGAGGCCCCGGGGGGAGGGGCCGTGAGCCTCAGAACCAGAGGCGGGTGCGGGACACGGGCCCTGCCTGGGCCTCCTGCTTTAGAACTCCTTGATCCGGGCCTCCTCTTGGGGTGAGACTGAGAGGAGGTCGGTGGGGAGGTGCCCACCTGGAGCCTGCAGCCCCGTTACCCACCCCTCTTGCTCTTAGACCAAGCTCTGGGCGCTCAGAACTCTGGAATCCCTTCCCAGGTAACCTTAGCCCACCAGGGCCCACAGCCCCCGCCCCGAGCTCTGTGGCCGCCCTGGTCTGGCGTGGGCCCTGCGCTCTGTGTAACCCAACTCTGTCCCTCAGCCTGGCGGGGACTGACGCCTGCTTGGGGACTGGGGGATAGAGTGCTCCCTCCACACACCAAACCTAGGCTTGATGTCAGTGTGGAGGGGCCTCAGAGACCACCTAGGCTGACCTCATACTTTATAGGTGGGGAGACTGAGGCCCAGAGAGAAGGGTGCCCTGTGGGGGGGCAGACCTGGTCTCTTTGCTCGGCCTCAGCCAAGATCAAAGCCCTCCTCTTGTCCGGCTCTCCCTCGGCCCCAGCCACTTAGCTGTGTGTCTCTCCGGGCCCTCTCCTCCCCTCCCCGCCTCGTAACTCACCCTGACAGACACAGCAGCCACCTTTCTACCTGTGAGCCTACCCCACCCTCACCCCCACCCCCACCCTACCCCACCCAGCAGCCGCCTCCCGGCCTCTTGCCTGTGGGTGGGCCCACATCCCCACCCCGCCCCCCACCCCTGGCACCTTTCCCCACCAACAAACGCGGAGCAGAGCAAATTGCTTAATGAGACCCACATTTCGCTGTGAGTTGCTAATGGAAGAGCAAACCCAACCTACCATTAATTTGGTCTTGGGAAAGAAACTTGGCCTGCAGCAGACAGAGGACACAGTCAGGAGGGGCTCCGGAACTCTCCCCCGGCCCTCCCCATCCCATCCCCTCCCTGCCCCCCGTCCCAAGCCCGGCAGGTGGCACAGACCCTCCCTCACCATCTCGGCCTCCGCCGCACCCCTGAGCTGCCTGCCGGGACTGCTTTCTGGGCTTCCTTCCTCCCGGCTTCAAGTCCTAAGTCCGCCAAGCTGGGTGGAGGCCCCGGTAATAAATCCGCCGCTGCCATGGCGACCAGGCCCAGCGCCAGGGGTCGGATTCCCGCTTCCCGCCAGCTGATGCCCAGCGGGGCCGGGCAGAGCAGCAGGTGGGTTCCGAGAAGTCAGGGCTCCTGCAGAAGGAAGGGCCGCCCAGGGCTCGTCCCGCCCGGGAAGCTGAAGCTCTGGGCAGACGCTCCTCCTGGGAGCCCGCCCTGGACACGGAGGAGGGTCAGTGACACCCCGAGAGCGGGGCCCTGCCCTGGGTGGGTGTCTTTTCTTCCGCTCCTGGGAGAAGCGGCAGGTGCGGGGTGCTAGCACCCCGCCTTCCCTGAGGGGCACCCAGGGCCGCCTGCAGGCGGGGCGGAGGCCTGATCGCTCAGCCCAGCGATGGGATGGCGCTGGCGCCGGCCAGGCCCCGGAGCGGGGCGCCGGCCTCGGTGCCTCAGGTCCGACCCGTCCCTTCCCCGCCGGCCTGTCCCGACCGCTCGGCCGGTCCCCGCCGCCTCCGAGGCCCGGCCGGCAGAGGGGAGGCCCGCCCACCTCCGCGGCCAGTCCCCAGCGCGGGGCCCCCGGGCTCAGAGGGAGGCCTCGTGGTGCCTCCCTCCGCCAGGAAGCTCCTCCTTTTCTCCCTTCCCCGCTCCCGCCGCAGCCCCACTCCTTCCTTCCTTCCGCAGAAGCTGCTGGCTCCCCTTTCCTCAGGGGTTTGTGCTGCTCCCCACCCCCATTGTGTTCACACACTCACCACACACACACACACTCAGGAAGTGAGGGCGGTGGGGTGGTCCCCAGAGCTGCTGAGCTGGGCACAGCTGGGTTCTGGCCTCCCAGCCTTGTCCACAGCTGGTGGCTGCCCTGTCTGAGGGCTCCGGCCCCAGGGGTCAGCGCACTTTGCCAGGCCCTGCAGGTTCGGCTCCGTGGGTTGTGCCTGTACTAGGGGTCCTGGCCCAGGAGTGAGCGGCCCTAGGGAGGCCGTGCTGCCCAGCGGAAGAGGGGATCTGGCTAATTGCACAAGCACATGGACACGTGGGCCCTCCTTTCCCCACCACCTCCACGTGGAAGGTTCTCTTTCCCCCAAAACTGTGGGTTGGGTCACCTCTTCACACCTGTTTCCAGCCCAGTGTCAGCTTGGGGGGCTGACTCCTTCCTGTGGGGCTGAGAAGAGGAGCTGGTCAGGGTGCAGGAGAAGGGGAACTTCTCACTTACACTATGTGGGAGGAGAGGGGAAGCAAAGTCAGGTGGGGTCTGAAGGCAGGGGTAGGGCTGAGCCTTGTGGGGAAGTCTGAGGGGGCCAGGCCAAGCGCATGCTCAGAATCGCCCTGTGGCCGAGACCGGTTTGGCTCAGTGGAGAGAGTGTCAGCCTGCGGACTGAAAGGTCCTGGGTTCGATTCTGGTCAAGGGCATGTACCTTGGTTGCGGGCACATCCCCGGTGGGGAGTGTGCAGGAGGCAGCTGATTGATGATTCTCTCTCATCGATGTTTCTAGCTCTCTGTCCCTCTCTCTTCCTCTCTATAAAAAATCAATAAAATATATTTTTAAAAAGGAAAAAAAAAGAAAAAAAAGAAAAAGAATCGCCCTGTGTTTGGGAAGGGACATGTGAGAGGAGATAGGCATTTCCTTTGTGTAAGTCAGGGTGTGCCAGGGCTGTGTGTGAAGGGTTCCCCCTGGCATACCCTTGCCAGCTCCTTCCTCAGGTGTTTACGTGTCGCTCAGATGATGGAAACACCTGCATGAGGGTCGTGGCTACGGGAGGGTTCACTGTGCAAAAGTTCACCCGGCCGCCTGCTGTCCTGCTGTGTGTTTGCTGCACTTCAACTCCACAGGAAAAGACAGACCCCCCCCCCTACCCCTTGGGACATGGGGGGCTGAGTTCACCTGAAGGGCCCCGTCACCAGGTTTCTGACTCGGCAGGTGGAGTGGGGCGAGGATTTGCATCTATCCTGAGGCTGCCAGTTGGGACCACACTTTGAGAACCACTGGCCTAGCTTTCCAGTGGGGTGAAGCCAGGTGGCAACTAAGAAGTATTTCTAGCCCAGCAGGGTGGCTCAGTGGTTGAGCAGTGAAACTATGACCCAGGAGGTCACAGTTCAATTCTGGGCCAGGACACAATGTGAGCTGCAGGCTCCATCCCTAGTAGGAGAGTACAGGAGGCAGCCAACCAATGATTCTCTTTTATCATTGATGTCTCTGTCTGTCTCCATTTCCTCTCTGAAATCAAGAAAAAAAATTTTTTTTTCTAATAAGTATTTCTAGGGGAACATTTCCAGTAAAGTTCCCTGAAAGCTCTGTCAAAAGGAACATTAAGCCCTAGCTGGTTTGGCTCAGTAGATAGGGCATTGGCCTGCGGACTGAAGGGTTCTGAGTTTGATTCTGGTCAAGGGCACATGCCGGATTGTGAGCTCAATCCCTAGTAGGAGTTGTGCAGGAGGCAACCAATCAATGGTTCTCTCTCCCTCTCTGAAATCAATCCTATCTAATAAAGAGCGAATATGCTAATTGACCATCATGCCATCACAAAGATGGCAGCGTCCACAGCCACAAGATGGTGGCACCCAGCCCCTTAGCCCTGCTGGGGTGTCAGGCATGCAGCATGGCCGAGCCCGCCCACAGGCAGGCCTGGCCACTCTGTGCACCTCCTCGGAGTCCCCCAGTCCCTTCAGCCCGCAGCCATCCAGAGCCAGCCTGAGGTGCAAGCAAGCCTTGGATGGCAGCTTCCTAGCGGCCCAGGGCCACCTGAGGCTCAGGTAACCAAGACAGGCCAAGGCTTGCGCTGCCGGCAGTGGCAACAGCAGAGGTGTGATGGGGTATCGCTTTCCCCTGATTGCCAGTTTACCTCCCACCCCTGAGGGCTCCCGGACTGTGAGAGAGAACAGGTTGGGCTGAGGGACCTCCCTCTTCAGTGCATGAATTATGAATTTTCATGCACTGGGCCTCTAGTATGTGTGTGTGTGTATACATACATACATATATATATACATATATATATAATTTAAAGTGACATTAAGTCTCAAAGCCTCTAATCATTTGCTGGGATTTCTTTTTCTTTCTAAATATGTTACTCAAACATGGGCTTGAACTGCATGAGTTTATTTCCTATGTGGATTTTTTTCAGTAAATGTATTTCCTCTTAATTTTTCTTTTTTTTTTTTAAATATTTTTTTATTTCAGAGAGGAAGGAAAGGGAGAGACATAAGCATCAACGATGAGAATCATTGATTGGCTGCCTCCTGCACACCCCGCATTGGGGATCAAGCCTGAAACCAGGCATGTGCCCTGGCTGGGAACTGAACCATGACCTCCTGGTTCATAGGTTGATGCTCAACCACTGAGCCACTCTGGTTGGGCCTTTTGCTTTTCTTAATAACATTTTCTTTTCTCTAGCTTTACTTTATTAATAAAAAATATAATATTAAGCAACTACATTGTCAGTTGGGCTTCTGGTCAACCGTAGGCTATTACAATAGTCGGCCCTCCACATCTGTGGGTTTTCAGTCACAAATGGAAACTGGCTAGGTAGCTCCGTTGGTGGAAACATCACCCCACCCACCAAAAAGGTGGTGAGTTGGATTCCTGGTCAGAGCACATAACTAGGTTGAAGGTTTGATATCAGGAGGCAATTGATCGATGTTTCTGAAATATGGTAGCAACTGTACTTGGGTAAAAAGTGCTGTTTGAATTTTAACCCTGCTATTCTGGCTTCGGCACTCACTCACTTGCTTAAACAATAGGGTAGTTGCCTCAGCTTCCAGAGTGAGACCTGGAGGCTAAGGCAATTTTCCTGTGCCTGTGGACCAGAACCACAGGACATTGATTCCCGCTGACTCAGTAGCTTCAGGAGTAGAAACTGTAAATAACATTTAGAGATTAACCGCTGAGCTCTGCTTCTGTGCTATCTGCTATCACGAGAGGGCCACATTCCAATGCCCAGCAGGACCCTGCAGGCTGTTCCCAGCCTTTAGAATTTAGAACAAAGGAAAATGTTTGTGGTTTGGACCTTTAAAAGGACTGCCTACGCCCGGAACGGTGTGGTCATGAGTGTGGCCACCTGCGTGTGGTGCTCTTGCGGCCGTCCTGGCCAGTTCAATAAATCCTTGCCTACTTTTTTTTTAATCAATCATCAGCCTCTGGTGGTCTTATTTTGAACCCAGGGTTCAACCCCACAAGTTTCTCTTTCCCTTCCTTCCTCTCTCTCTTAAAAAAAAAGTTTGCTAACATATTAAAAATAAAAACAATGTTTGAATCCCTGGATATGAAATCCAAGAATATAAAGAACCAGGTGTAGCTAAGTTTTGGGGGCAGTTATATGCAGAATTTTGACTTTGCAGGGGGTCAGTTTCCCTAACCCCCATGCTGCTCAAGGGTCAACTGTATTCACTTTCATCTCTTAATTTTTTATTATTATTATTTTTTTTTACTGTTTTCTTACTAGGGGCCCTTCAAATTGTATTCGCCTCAGGCCCCACACAACCAGGCCTGTGCCTGATCAGAAGTCTGTTAGGCCCCTCTGTGGCTAGGCCCGAGGGTTTGGAGGGGCAGTGTCCTCGGGATAGGGAAGGAATGAAATGAGGTTGCTGGGCAGGTGGAGACACCAGGGCTTAAGGATGTGTCTCCTGCCCGCAGCCCCTCCGGTGGAATAACAGTAGCCCAGAAGTTCAGATGACCCCCTGGGGGAAGAGGCCAAGACCTTTGAAGATCAGGAGCTGAGGCTCAGAAAGATCAAGTGATTGGCCCAAGGCTGAGTACTGACCTCCAAAGACCAGCTCCCCCCCTCTGAGCCAGGCTGGCAGCACAGCTGGGAGGCTCCTTGTGTCACCTCTGAGGGCAGGTCTGGAGATGCCCTATCCTGGCCCCGTGCCCCCATACTCCTCTGAAGAAGGCTGGGACTGACCTCAGTTCTTCTCACTGCCACCTCTCCCCGACCCAGGGATCCTACAAAGTGGCACAGGGGTGGGGGTGGGTAGGGGGGCAGTGGCAGCACCTGCTCCTGGCCAGATGGGGCTGTGTGGGCCCTTGGGGTCTGCCCAGTGCTCT